TTCTCCATGTCTTAAGACATTATGAAACGTGATAATGACCCTACGAGCATAATAAAGTGGATTTGCCTAAAAGATTGCCCCTGGCGTGTTACAAGGATGAAGATGAGTGAAATCTTTACTAAGTCATACTTACTGAACATACTCAGAGACTTGTTCTTGATTTTTTTTTATGTATGTTAGTCTCACGCATCGTGAAACCATGGAGATATCCTTCTATTACCTATAGCAACGTGCAAGATTTAATTCCCATCAATATTCATTAAGTCACTGTTAGTGAGAGTTTTGTGTCACCTTGCCGGGGCTAGGACTGTCAGTAGTGTAGCAGTTAAGACCTAATTGTCTCCACGAGGAGATCTCTCTGAGGGCATAGACTGCTTCCAACATAAGTGGATCCTATAGAAAAGCTTGCTTGCTTTTTTTTTGGAGGGGGGGCATCATATGTTTGAAATGAACTTGTATATCACTAAAGAATCCACGTCTACTTCAGTTTTACTTTTCCACCTTTTCTAGCCACTCAGATCAATATTTAGGTCCAAGGGGTAAGGACTCTGGAGCGTTTTTTTAAGGCTGTGAGCCTTCGCTCTCTCTCTCTCTCTTTCCCTAACTTTATTTTGTGTTTGTTTTTATAGTCAAACACATTCCGTGTAGTTTCACAGCCCCTCAACAAATAAAATCAGTAACATTTTCCCATGAACAGCCCCATACATGTTGTTAAACCCCCAAAGAACTTGCTTGCTTTTTTGCTGAATCTGCATCCTGCTTCTGACTCGATCTCTCGTTCGTTGGCCCTGAGCCAGTGGCCTGCCATACTATCTGCTGACACTGGGAGTCAGCAGCAGCCATCCTGTCTGATCATGGATCCATTGACCTCTGCCACCAGAAGCCTGTATCTGACCAGCTGATAGTAGATTCACCATTTCCACAGACTTGGACTTCTCCCACCTCTGTAGCTGCACGAGCCATCTCCTTGATACAGGCTTCTCTCCCTATATACACAGAGATAAGCTTTACTGGTTTTGCTTCCCTGGAGAACCTCACCTTAGACAGGCATCCACTAGAACAGCGAGTCTCAACCTGTGGGTTGCGACCCCTTTGGGGGTCGAATGACCGCTTCACAGGGTTGCTCGATTCATAACAGTAGCAAAATTACAGTTATGAAGTAGCAACGGTAATAATTTTATGGTTGGGGGCCACCACAACATGAAGAACAACTGTATTAAGGGGTTGAGGCATTGGGAAGGTTGAGAACCACTGCCCTAGAAGATAAGTCAGGAGCCCTGCTAGTGCTGAAGGCCTCTCTAAGACTTCCTTACCTTCTCTTAAATGCACAGTAATCTCTGCCATCTCTGCGCTTGCCAGCACCTTCAGCTTTATGACGCATAGGGCTGCTAACTCACCCGATGTGACTCAAACGCACCCGATGCTCCCGGGGACAAAGGAGGGTGTCTCCTCCCAGAAAGATTTACAATGTTGGTGTCTCCAAAGGGCACCTCTGTTCCATCTTGCAGTGTCACCAGGAGTCATATTCAGCTCGATGGCAATGGGTTCGGTTTGGGGCTTGGGGAAGCAAGTCTAGTCAGGAGGTTTGGATCATTCAATAGAAGATTCTGGCAATTACCAACCATACTAGCATCTCTTACCATATCATTAATCAGGTCACTGCCAGAGAGTATGATTAGCCTTTAAATTGTCCAAATAGATCCTAGCAAGGCGCTCTCATTAATAAACTCACTGGTCAATACTAGTTCTACCCTAGGCTAAGCAACAACCTCGAGAATCAGATAATAAAACAATGAAAAGAAATTGCTTTTTTTCTCAAAAACATATAATCTACATGTTAAAAAAAGAATCCGCTGATCTGTAACAATGTGAGAATGCTCTAAGGCAGAGGTTCCCAAAGTAGAAGCCCCGCAGCAGCAGCCCCTGGGAACTTGTGAGAGAGGCACATTTCTTCCTTTTTCTTCTTTATTTTAATTTTATCTTATTGTGAAGGTTTATGGAGCAGATCATAGCTTTGCATTCACACACATTGTGATTCATCTCATCCTTTCAAACCCCTTCAAGAGACCACCATTTATTCTACTTCCTCTCAGGGTTTTCTGTTTCCACCGTCCTCATTCCCAACCCGATGAACGTGTTCGACTATTCTAATGTGGAAGTGAGCGCACTTCAAGACCTGCAGGAGAAGGACAATAGTCTTGGGGGGATCAGACCAGGAAGCCTGGCCTCATACTATCATTTTGGGTTCTGTTCCTCATTTATCTCCCTTGTATCCAGGACCTTAATCCTTTGGGGAGCAGTTGGTAGTAGCGGCCGCGGACCATATTGTTCTTCTAGTTTCAGAATTGTGAGGCTTGGTGTTTACATGGTCCGGTAGTCCTCTGGACTCGTGGTTTCCACGTGTGTTTCCTCTCTCTTCTTCCCTCTGGGTGAGGAGAAACCAGACTTGCACCTTAGATGGCTGCTCACAGGCTTTTGAGACCCCAGTTGCTACTCACCAAATTAGTGGAGCATTGTCTTTGTGAACTATGTTATGCCAACTGGTTCTGGTGTTCCCTGAGATGATGGTACTGATCCCTCAGGCCCAGGGAATCATTCCCCCAAGGTGTTTAGTTACGTCTAAGACAACAGTTCTCAACCTGTGGGTTGCGACCCCTTTGGGGGTTGAACGACCCTTTCACAGGGGTTGTCCAATTCATAACAGTAGTGTATTAGTCTGGGTACTTTAGAGAAATAAATCCACAGAACTCATGTATGAGAGAGTTTTATATAAAGGGTAAGTGTGCATCAAGAAAACATCCCAACCCAGTGCTGCCCAAGCCCACAAGTCCAACATTAGCCCATATGTCGGACACCAATCCACAAAGTCCTCCTCCATCTCACAAAACACATGCAATGATGCCAACTGCAGGAGGAAAGCCGAGTCAGAGAGTGTGTAAGCATCTCAGCGCTAGCAGGGGTCTCCACATGGCTGCTCCAGCACCCAGGGCTGCATTGGGGTAGGTCCACGTGGCTTCTCCTTGGGGATGTCTTGCAAGAAGTCAGCCTTGCCAGCTGAAGCAGGGAACTGCTAAGGCAGCTGCACCCTGGTCCGACCATCACAAAGCAAGAGACCTGAGAACTAGAAAGGCGAGGCTCACCGAGCCATTTATCCCTCCACCCTTCAATTAACCCCACAAGTGTTTATTGGGCAGGTTGGCACAATAACTCAGTAGCAAAATGACAGTTAAGAAGTAGCAATGAAAATAATTTTATGGTTGGGGGGTGGTCACCACAACATGAGAAACTGTATTAAAGGGTTGCAGCATCAGGAAGTTTGAGAACCTCTGCTCTAAGACATTTGGATCTCTCGCAGGCATTCTGAGTGCCTACTAATCTCTCCCTCATAAACTCTGCATGCTAAAGTGTGAAAACAACAGTTTTAAGTGACTAAGCATATTTAAAGCAACACAGTGCTGATTGGTTACTCTTATGCTATATAAAAGTTCAAACCAAACAATTGCCATCAAGTTGATGCCAACTCATCGTGACACTGTAGGACAACTGGTCCTAAGGGTTTCCAAGCCTGTAATCTTTATGGAAGCAGACTGCCACATCGGTCTCCTGCAGAGCATCTGGTGGGATCGAACCTCTGACCTTTCGGTTTGCAGTGAAGTGCTTTAATCATTGTGCTCCATGACTCCTTAAGTAATAGCTCAGCCTGGTGCTCAACAGGCTTCCTTAGTGACCTTATGAGCTTGAACACATGGGCAGTTTGGGAGCGTTGGTGAGCAGTGGGGAAGTCAACAGCACTCTGCACATGAGACTGGGAGTATGTCTTCTCTCAACTGTTTATCTGGGCCTTAATTGGACTTGTTAACCAGATTAAGGTTTCCAGTGCTTTCCTCCTTAAAGCTCAGCCCCTGTTTCTGAGCTTGGGTCTATTAAGGTGCCCTGAGCCCTGACTTTATTTGGTTAGTTACTGTGGATCCTAGACTCAAATCTGGGATTGTCAGTGACTGACCCACCAAAAAGAAGAGGTGTTTGCCTGTTCCCCCGATGCACAGAAATCTAGAGGCCGCTCCTTTTTCTAGAGGCCATTCCTTTTTCCACATCGCACCTGGAAAAATAAACTGTTTCCGTCCATCATGGCAAAGGTCATCCTTTTCCCCACTGTGTTCAGCTACTCAGCAATGCGCATTACAGCTGGATTTTTTTGTGTGGGCTCATAGAGATCACTTCATTCAATTGGATATACTGTATATACTCGAGTATAAGCTGACCCACATATCCGCCGAGGCACCTAATTTTACCACCAAAACGGTATTAAAAATGTGCTGAAAAAAACTCGGCTTATACACGAGTATATACGGCATATGGAAACCCCCGTTCTGTGTAGGATAGCATGCTAGGCCCTGAAGAGACGGTCTCCACACACCAGGGTGCAGGGAATGCAGAATGATGACCGCCCTACGAAGTCCATGTGTGAATCCCAGTTCCCCGTGGGTCTGTTGCCGCATGAGAAGAGAGGATGTGTAGACTGGGCTCTGCATCTTGGGATGGGCTTCCTTCCTCGATCGTCTATGCAAGCCCAGTGCAACCACCGGGCTTCTTCTCAGAGGGAAGCCGGAGCTCCAGCGTAAGGGAACGACATAAAAGAGGTCAGAGAGGGGGGCAGAGGGAGAGGGAGAGGGAAGTGGGAGGAGAGAGGGAGATTTGAAGACTCGGTGCTGATGACTTTAAAGATGAAGAACATACCCTAGCCTCGGAATTCAGGTGGTCTCTCGAAGTCAGAAAAGATAAGGAAACAGAGTCTCACCTGGAGCCTCCAGATCCCAGCCTTTCAGAACGTGAAATCACACATGTATGATATGTATGATATCTGAAGCCACTAAGCCAGTGGTGGTTGATTATAGCAGTCAGAGGAACCCAAAAAAGGCAGTTTACAATCATTAATGAGAGAGCAGAGCTGGCGCACTTGATGCTGGTACAATTCAGAAAATGACAAATGCAAACTAGGAAACATTTTTGTGAAAAACAATGTTTTGGGTATTGGAATATTGACGCCGGGATAGTTCCGACTAGCGATTAGGAAAGCTTTCTGGGTGGTGTGGTGGTTCTGCTGGGCCCTGGGGAAATGAGTAGGAATTGCTAAAGGAAACCCTGCAGGACAAATCTGGGCAGGGGCTCAGTGCTGGAAAGTCTAGTCCAAATCCAAAGCTGACCAAGGCCCTCGTGAGTAGCCCGTTTCTCGGGGACACAAGATTACTCAGTGAAAAAGAAAGTCATAGGTCTCTAAGGGTATTAAAGTTAGAAGACTAGAAACAACTGTATGTATGTGCCAAACTGTCATGAGAGTTTAAAAAATATAGACCACCAGCCCACGCCTCAGGAGACAGTCAAGCCCTGCCCTTCCCGTAGAGCTAGCGTCTCGGCAACGCACAGGTGCAGGTCGACGCTGTCCCATGGGCCGCTAGGAGGCGGAATGGACTTAATGGTGGTGAGTGTGTTTCAGTTTCACCACAGGCTGAGCCTGACTTTGACACACATGGCCAGACACCAAGGGCCAATCCAAAGAAGCAAAGCGGTCACTCTTTTCCAAAGGCATCGATTTCCAAATGAGACACTCTCTGGGAACTTGGCAAACAAGCAAAGCCGGATCGTAAATCCAACAGGAGGGAGACTGACATTGATGGTTGGCTGGGGAAAAACAGGAGAGCTTAGACCCTTGGTACTTGGATTTGAGTATTCTGTGTGTCTGAAGTCAGAGCCCAGGATCTCAAATGCTTTTGAATGGTTCTCTCCAGTTTGGTTTGGATTTCATTATCAGGCAATTATCCTGCTGAAATGATTTTTGCAGCCACTGTTTTGGAGATTGGGAAGGAAAGAGTAGAATTGTCTGTATTGTTTACCGGCATCACCCAAACTTACCATCACATCGTCTTCTGGGCATTACCAATGGAGGAAATTAATCCCTACCCAAGCTGATATGTACTGACAGCTGCCCCAGCTCCATTCTTTACCCTCTGGTGAGATCCATCCCATTACTGTTGTTCAAATTCCTTCCAGGAAAACGCAGAGGAACACGTTGTCTCCAACCGGCTCCCATGAGAACCGCCTCTAACGTCTGAAGGTGCATCCATAGCTGCATCAGAGGCTGCAAAGTCCTGGGATGGAGCTCCATGTTTTGGGGGCACATTTCCTGCACACGCAGAACTGGACACACTGCAGGCATCCTTGTTTCTCTTGCTTCCGGGCATCCTGTCGAAGCCCACATATGTAACTTCAGACTGGCTGCATTCCAAAGGAATGTTCTGCGTCCCTCTCTCTTGCCTCTTGTGTACATCAGGAGGCAGTGAGTGGATATTCTGGCTCTCATCGTCTTCCATGGGAATACTGGGGATGTTATTCAAGAAAAGTGGAGACGGACACCGGAAGGACTTGAGTGATGTAGGAGGATCGTCCGCAAAATACAAGCTGGCCTGAGTTCGTTCAAGAATACTTAGGACCTAAGTTAACAAAGAAACAGACATTGAGTTAAACTTGCATAATTTTCCCGCCCCCTTTAATCTTCCTATTGGAAAATACCTTCACTATCATGAAAGAAAATTAATTATAGAATTTTGAACTCAACCGAACGATAAAGATTAGCTGTTGGTATCAGTTGGTGTCAAGTTGGCCTTCGACTCCTGGCAGCTGAGTGCACAACAGAATGAAATGCTGCGTGGTCCTATGCGGCCCTGTGATTGGTTGAAACCTGGACCGCTGTGATCCAAAGAGTTTTCAAGGGCTGATTTTCAGAAGTGGATGTTCGGGCCTTCTGTCCTAACCTGTGTTCGCCTGGATGCTCCCCTGAAGCCTTATTCAGCACAGTAGCAACACGCAAGCCTGCACCGGGAGGCTCCTGGCAGCTCCACGTGGGGTGCCCGAGCCAGGCTTTGAAAACGGTCTCCGGCCCGGAAGACAAGGAGTGGCCATCAGCTCGATGGCAGTGAGTTTGGGTTTGGGTTGACTGCCAAGGCTCCCAAAGATTAGCCCACGCGCTTCATGTTAATGACGAGTAAAGTAAATGATTTGAAGCAAAGCCTGAAGGAAAGTGTCCTGAATTGAACATCAGGAGGCTGGAATGTTAGTCCGAGACTTGGTACAACTAGTTTTGTGCCCTTGAGTGAGTCTCCCAATAGTTTCTCTTCATCCATGAGATAAGGGGTTGGGGGTGGGAGGAAGGGATGACGAGATCCGGTCTGTCGTGCTCAGGTGTTCAGAATTACCCTGGAGGCTTTAAGATACAGTTTTTCTTGGACCCATCCTAAAGATGGTCATTTCCAAAAAACCTGGAGATGAGGGCTCAGGGATTTGTATGTTAAAAGTTCCCCTGTTGATTGGATCTGCAATCCTACTTGAGACCCTTTGGCTTCAGGCAGTGGTTGTCAATCTGTGGGTTGGAATCCCTTTGGGGGTCGAATGGCCCTTTCACAGGGGTTGCCAAATTCATAACAGTAGCAAAATTACAGTTATGAAGTAACAATGGAAATAATTTTATGGCTAGGGGTCACCACAACATGAGGAATGGTATTAAAGGGTTGCATTAGGAAGGTTGAGAACCACTGCTCTAGAGTCTGATCGTGCCAGCTCCTGTTTCAGACACTCCATGGCTCTGTAAGTACTCAGGACAAAATCCATGCTTCCAGAACCAATTCACACCCCATCACACTGTCTTTCACTTTAACCCTCTGGTCTTTCCCCTCCCTCACCCCACGTCCCCGATGCTAAGCTACTTGCGATCTTTGCACCGTGGAACGAGCATGTTTACAAAGCAAATAAACAAACCGACCGCCATCAAATCGATTTAGACTCATAGTGACCCCACACAGGATTTCAGAGGCTATGTAAGTCTTCACAGGAGCAGACAGCCTCATCTTTTCCCCAAGGAGCCACTGTGGGTTTGAACCACTTAACCTTCTGTTAGCAGTGCAAAACTTACCCGACAATACTATCAAAAATCCTTTGAAACATCTCATTGTTGCCTAAATCCAACCTGTTTTTCAGGTCATGATCACCTCCTCACTATCACCTCCTTCAAGAAACTTCCTTGACTTCCGTAGGCTGGTATACTCCAGTATCAGCCTGGACATCTATCTCTTACATTGTTTATCTCAAGTACCAAAACTCCGTTTATTGTTCTGACCCCCACTCTGGAATGTGAAAAGGTCTTTAGTACAGAGTAGGGCAAATACAAAGTAGGCACTCAATAATTTTTGGAGAATAAGGGGACAAGTAAATGAATAATGGGTTATTATTTTGATGGACACGTGAATAAAAATGAATTCTGCTAAATGAGCCAGATCTCTTAATGAAGGTTGAATAAGATAGTCTCCCAAACTTCTCACCTATGTCTTTTCACTAAATCTTATATGCTGCCTGAGTTCCATCCAGGGGACCCTGGCCGTGCAGTTGGTGAAAAACTGGGCTGCTAACCACAGGTTCAAACCCACCAGCCACTCCACGGGAGAAAGGTGAGGCTGTTTACTTCCTTGGAAACTGTGAGTTAGAATTGACTTGATGGCAACTGGTTTGGTTTTTCTGGTTTACCAGGGGACCCAATGATGGGACTTTTTGATCTAGAAAAACTATTAGGTTGGAATTGTATGCCAGGGGCTGAATTTGCTTCATTATGAAAAATATTTACTTAGACACGCAATTATCCAGTTTACACGTTCCAGTGTTCTGTCAGCTCAACTTTGGACAAACTCATGTGTCTACGTACTTCATCCATCATTGGCCTTAATTTGGCCCGAGTTGCAGCACACTGGCCGGCCAGTGAGAACAGCTTGGCGGAGAAATTCCGAGGGCAGGGATTTACTTTCTTATCTAGAAAGGAGAGACATGAATCGAGGCCTCTCTTCTCCATCAGTTCCATAAGGAGATCCCTCTAGGAAGAGAAGGAGACAAGTTTACCATGTAGAACTCCAGCAGGAAAGTTACCAAGAGATGGACACAGAGATGAAGATGTTCTTACCAGCTGGATATGTTTGGGATCATCTATCACCACTTTACAACCTGTCAGAACTTCCATTATGACCTGTAAGGAATATACAGAACATTAGGCTATATCTGAGTGTATTGCAAGTAGCAGTTGCAACTATGAACCATAACAACGCATAGTTTAATTAATCACTTTAAATGTATTACTTGATTTAGTATACAGCATTCATGTGTAAGACAATGCATGGCGGGAAATCAGCAAATCTGTAAGTTAAGGCCTCAAAAAGAATTTTTTTTCTTAGAAATTAGAATATTCTTGGTAATAAAGCATCCTTTGTTAGCCAGGGGTTAGCACTTACGATTCCGAAGCTGTAGACATCCGTTTTAATGGAAAGTTTGCCCTGCCTGACATATTCCTCAGGCATGTACCACAGATGTTTACTGCTGCTACTGGTCATGTTGATGGTAGAACTCTGATGTTCGAGGTGGGGCCGGAAGTGTGCCATGGCAAAATCAGTAAGTTTGGGCTGAAACTGATCATCCAAAAGTATGTTTGCACTAAAATTGTGATCAAGCACAAAAAGATAAGAGATCATCAAGGCATCTCAATAAAAGCAATGTACCAAGCTTACCTTCCAGGTGGTTGATTGAAAACATTGATAAAACCAAGTGAAACATCCTCTCTCATGAACCAGAGCACACTGACTCGTCTTTCTTGAAGATCTCCACTGGAAGCGGTGAAAATGTTAACTAAGGCCAGCCTGCATCTCACCCAGGCTCATCGGTGCCGTTCCATTCATGGTCTCACGTGGAAGAGCATTGACACCCCTTGAAGTGAGACCTCACTGAAGTCAGATCCCATTTTTTCTCCAAGCCTCGGCGGGAACACACATTCAGCGCAAAAGTACTTCCTCCAAATGTGTGCATGAGACACTCACACAGATCAAGAATGGGACTATTAACACGCTCCGATCCTTAAGAACAAACACCAGGGCCTTTCCTGCAAGAAGGTGTCGGTTCTTCAGAAGGGGAAGATGACAGAGAAGTTCACACAGGCTCCAAGAGCCTGGCTCTCTTCTGTATTCTCCTACTCCGCTTCCGGCTGGCCGAGGACCGAGAGCCCGGAATGCCGCCTGTCTAGTACCCATTATCTAGTCCCCTTCTTCTCCACCACAGCGCAACGCGAGCAGGTGTAGACGCAAAGCTTCAAAGGCCAGAAAGGAGGCGTGTGTAAACCACTTAAAATCCCTGCATAGCTTTCTGAAGTACCAAAAATCAGTTAAAAGAAAACAACAAAGCCTACAATCCATTCCATTTATTTGACCCTCCCCTAAACTGGAGGGGGGGTGGCGCTTTCAGCAATCAGTGATTCATGCTTCTGTGTGCATTAGGTCCGGGTGAGTCTGGTGACCAGACAATGTATGAGACGGTAAAACCCACACCAGACCGAGGGTCATTGAAAGACCATCAATACGTCTAACATCGTTCTAGGGCACTGCATTTACACTCTCGTGATATTTGGTGAAAAGGCGAGTTGTTTGCCAGCTGACCTTCGTGTACACCATAAATTTGGAGTCCTGTGATTGACGCTCTTCAGAATAAAGGTTAATAGTAGGGAAGGAAGAAGGATGTTTTTTAGAAAAGTGGAAAGTGCAAAGTGCAAAGAGCTTCTCCATAAGCAATTCCACCCCCAGTTCTTTCTCCGGCTCCCCCTTCAATAGATGTTCACACACAAAGTGCCATCAGCTAGAGCAGCCAGGCCCGCAGCGTCCCGGGAGAAAGCAGACTGATAACACAGACACCATGAATCACTCAAACGTACGGGGCTGCTGCAAAGGGACAGCCTGCAGCTTCGGTAGAGGAAAAAGGGAAAAGACCCAAGGTTTCCTCACCTTCGAGTTTGTGTTTTTACAAAAGCGTCTAGCACAGGAGTTCTCAACCTGTGGGTCTCGACCTCTTTGGGGATCGAACAACCTTTTCACAGGAGTCATGCAATTCATGATGGTAGCAGAATGACAGTGATGAAGGAGCAATGAAAATAATGTCATGGTTGGGGGGGTCACCACCACACGAGGAACTGTATGAAAGGGTCGTGGTGTGAGGAAGGTTGAGAACCCCTGGTCTAGCAGAAGGAACCGTGATGTGTCTGCTGAAAAGGTAAGGGTCCCCTGCCCAAGAGGAAGACTTAGGAACGTGGCCGGCAATGTTACTGAACTTAGCTGTTGCTAGGGGTTGTACGAGACAATTAGTTTAGGGGGTTTGTACGTGACTCCTAACCACTGTTGTTTAAGGAAGTGAAGCCCGAATGCTCCTTAGAGGCGAGGATGCCAGGCATGGAATCAGTCAGGAAGGACCAATCCCTGGAGAAGGCTATCATGCTTGGTCAATTAAAAAGCAAAGAAGAGGAAGACCCTGGACCAGATGGATTGACGCATCGGCTGCCGCAATGGGCTCAGCTATGAGCATCGTTATGAGGCTGGTGCAGGAGCAGGTCCTATTTCTTTCTCATGCACAGAGGGGTGTTCTGGTGGTACACAACGCTAACCTAAGAGCAAACCCACCCAGCAATCACACACACACACACACACACACACACACACACACACACACACACACACAGCCTGACAATCTGCGATCACAAAGATTACAGCCCAGGAGATCCCAGGGAACCCTCTACTCTGCGGTACATGGAGTGGCCATGGGTCCCAGACAACTAACTAAGCAATGGGTTTGAGTTGTTTTGCACGTCCCTCCCCCGAGCAAGTGCCGCTTTGTCATAAGACAAGCCTTCTTTGCTCCCCACTTTGTGTCCTGATTTAGTAGATACCCCAGTCCTTAACAATAAGGCAAGATGATATGCCTACATTATCATACACACATGATTTGAATTTAAGTGCAAATGCCGTGTTTGGAATGTAAGGGCATGATTATGTGTGTGTGTGTGTGTGTGTGTGTGTGTGTGGTGATAATTCCTTTTAGAAGAATGAATACCAGACTAGTCCCAGGAGGCAGGAATGAATGATGTCCCAAATGTCCAACTCTTCCAGGATGCTCTTCTGCTCCATGCCCGCCCCCCACCTCCCCGGCTCCTCCCTTGAGTCTGTTCCCTCGTGTCCCTGGGTTCTACAATTCACTGCAATGTCCCACAGAAACTCACAAAACTTTGAGGAAATCTCTTATATAGAGGTGGGTGCTATTCAGTCCAAATATGAAGGTCGGGCAGAGGTGAGCCAAATGCAGGGTCCAGATCCCAGAAGCCAAAAAGGCCCCAAGGCCACATCAGGTCCTCTTGTTTCTCCCAACACTCAGACAGGGCATAGAGGTCTGGCTCTCCAGGTGAGGTGGTGTGTGTGTGTGTGTGTGTGTACTACATGCTGGTCCCAGTGTGTGTGTGTGTGTGTGTGTGTGCGCGCGCTACATGGTGGTCCCAGTATGTATCCTAGGAAACTAGGGATGGGGCCCTCCATGAATCAGAATCTACTTGATGACAATGACTGTGTGAACCCAGTCACACCTTTGGTTTTCTGGGATATATACTGGGACCACCATGCAGTTCTCATGCACACATTGCTCACCTGGAGAACCAGCCCTCACCTGGAGAGCCAGACTGAGCTTTGGAGTTTTAAAGATGTCATCAAGGAAACAAAGGGGTCAGGCCCTAATCCCACCCCATTCCTGTCCATTAGTAGAGAATGTCCTTCAAAGTAGGAGTCTAGCCACAGGCTCTAAGTCCAGAATTACAATACACATCAGGCATTATGGCTAGAAGGGCCATATTAACTGATGATAACTCAGGATATATTCAGGTTTCGGAAGGATTGGTGCAAGGGATGAAGGCCTGAAACGATGCTGAAAGATAAAATGCATCTCAGTGTGAAATCGCTCATAAATGTGGAAACAACTAAGCCCAATGAAAGGCAGGATGTAAATCATAAGATGTACAGCTTTCAGATGCTTTTATGTGGTCCTGTAATTCACAGACATCTTTGTCCCCCAAATAACAACACAAGGGTCTCTTGCCAAGAACACAAACGATAACTCTGCCAGAGTCTTTTCTTTAAATCCCGTTTCTTTCCCCCAAATTCCACCATCTGGTAACAGATTTTGTTTTTATACCATTCTCTTTGAAGCGTTCAAATGACTAAGACATTTTGGGGTCTAAATATACCACCAGATGTCTCAGCTATACCTCTGAACTGTGGCTCTGCTTCCTCCTGTGGTGTTCTGAGCCTGGCCCTGGACAGCTTTCTTCCTTAGAAAGCCATTTGCTCCACTGCTCGAACAAGGCTAAGATTCCAAGTGCTTAGCTGCGAGCCAATCTCCCTCCCCTTAAAACCTGCTGCCTCCTGCCCTGTGCACTAGGAATCCAGGGTCAACACCTTCTAACCTGCACGTACGAATTATGTTCATGTCTCTGTCTCAGTGTCCTGCCAACGAAGCCGCCTTGCTCCCAGTCACCTGCCTAGAAATGTTCCCCGCAATGCTTTCTAGCTGCTGTCCCCTCAAGTCTGGACCCCAGGTGTCAGAGGGAAGTGCTCCACAGGGTTTCCCTGAGGTCGGTCGCTAGGCCTGTCTGTCCAGGGGTCGCCCAGTACATCCAGATGCACCGCCCAAGAACCCAAAGTTGATTGTGGTGACGATTGCACAACCCTTCTTAGCAGGATTGCATGATTGTGATGTGTTAATTATAGCTCAATAAAACTAGTTCCAAAAAATAATAGAGGGGTGGGGCACACCAAACCCCTGCTGACAAGTCCATAACAACTCATGGTACCCCCAAGTGTTTGAGAGTAGAACTGCCCTTCATAGGATTTTGAAAGGCGAAGCCCTTTCAGAACTAGATCACCAGGCCTTTCTTCCGAGTTACTCTGGGTGGATCTGTCCACCACTTCAATTAGTAGCATTTCAGTTACTAGCCTGCCACTTAACCACTTATGCTCTGGGAAGTCCACCAGCAATGCTCAAAATATATCTCTCAAACTTGATGCCACAGAGTTAATTGCCACTGATAGCGAGCCTATATATAGGATAGACTAGAACTGCTTTGGGGTTTTCAGTCTGTACATCTTTACCGGAGCAGGAGGCCTCATTTCCTCCCTGGGAGCAGCTGGTTGGCTCCAACTGCTGACCTCGTGTTTAGCAGCCCGAGTAACCCACTATGTCACCCAGGATACTTGCAGTAATGCTCCTCCCCAAAGAAACTCACTGCCGTGGAGTCAGTGCTGACTCCCAGCTGCCCCATAGGACGAGGTGGAACTGCACCACCACCACCACCCCTGGGCTACTAAGGCTGTAGGCCTCATCTAGTTCCCACAGAGAAGCTGGTGGGGTTGAACTGCTGACTTGTGGTGAGCCGTTCAGCACGTCACTCACTACATCATCAAGGCTCCTGCTCCAGTATTCAAATTCCAAACTCACTGCCATTGCGTGATTCCAACTCAAAGCGACCCCATAGGACAGGGCAGAGCTGGCCCTGTGAGTTCAGAGACTGTACCTACTTACAAGAGTAGGAGTGGCTGGTGGTTTCGAACTGCTGGCCTTGCAGTTAGCAGCCCAAT